AGCACAAGGTATGATAATGTCAAATACCCTGAAGCACAAGGTATGATAATGTCAAATGTCATGTGGAAGGATTAAGACTTTGAATTTGGCTAATCTTACTTTGTATCAACCTGCCTTCTGTAATATCATTACAGCACATCCAAGAGTTTATGGCTAGAATGAGAGGTAGATCTTTAAGCTTTATGGAGTCTTCAGTATCATTCCATACAGAGAGGTGCAAAGTCCCGTAATTTTAAGATTTCATCAGGTGGAGTAAATGAGTGAGGGGACTAGGTGTAGGAGAATAGGAACCAGTGGGGACTTAAGAGCGCTGTTTTCTCTAAAGGCTTCCAAATACAATTAAAGACAAAACCCAAACCCTGTACAGTAATCCAGTTGGCTGTGTCTGGACTGGGAGTGGCCAGCTATGACCCCTACTCTTACCTAATCCTTTTTTTTTGTTGTTTTTCAAGGTGAGGAAACAGGAGCCAAAAGTCACAAAGCAAAGTGTGTAAGATAATTAAAGGTGTAAATGTGTGCATATATATCAAAACACACCATTTTTAATGAAAGAAATTAATATCCACACATTTGTACTTCTGTACAATTTTGGGTAATATATAATTTTAAGCTGTTTACAAATAACATGTAATGCTTCAAATATTACATAATGTTGATAATACATTTCTAGCAGAAATAAATATATTGCACTTAAAAAGAACTTCATTAGGTGTTACTTCATAGTATTAGGCTTATAACTTCTTTTTTCATAAAACATTTCCCATGCCCTTCCCCCCACCCCCAACACACACACTTCATTACAGTGACTGTTCTCACGCAATTCATTAAAGTAAATGGACACAGCAAACAATATAACTGTGATAGAGTCTACTAAAGAGGCTATATCCAATTTTATCCTCTAGGAAATAAAAGGGTTTTTTTAGGTTTCTGAAAATAAGGAAAAAAAAACACAACTAAACACGTATTTTAATGTCTCAGAAGTAAAATACCAAACTGTATTTTTTGTCCAGATGTATTATTTTACCAATATTTTTATTTTCTTATTATCAGGGAAGGGGATTGGAATTGAGGAAGGGATAGAGAAAGAAGAGTGAGAAAATACTTATGGATTATTTGCCTACCAATATTTATAAATGAAACTTTGCATATTTAAGCATGCCAAAGAAAGATAAGTATTAGAATATTTTATAACTGGCATGGAATAGTAGTGAAGAAATTATTTTATGGTTTTCTAAACGTTTAAGAATTTGTAACCTTCTCTTTGCCTGTTTAAAATAAAATCCTTGCATTCTGAAATAATATAAAAACATGTAAAATCCATCCTCCACCCAAGCTGCCTAAAGGAGCCAGCTGAAAATCTTTCTGTCCAGTGCTTTATTTCTTTCCAGTCTAGATTTACAGTATAATATTGTTTTGTTTCTAATAATTATCAATTCCATACATGTTTAATAACAAAAAGTTTCCTTACTTAGTCAATGGAAGATTGAGTAAAAATATTGTTTTCCTTGCAGCATGTGACCCTGGCACATTACATAACTGAATTTTTTGAACTTTAGTTGCTGAGTCATGGCTAAGCTTGACTGCATATTTAATGGAGTGGTAAAGTCCTTCTTGAAGCTCATTTTTCTCAATATGGTTCAGCTTAAATATAAGCAAGATGCCTGAAAAGCTAACATGAAATTCAGAAATGGATTAAATATCCCAACATCTCTCTGAAAAATTCATAGGTATGGGAATGGTGATCTTTTCTTCTAAAAATTCTTTTTCTTGGCCTTTTGGAGGGTGTCCTTTTTATTTTTTTTTTTTGCATGGGGGGGCAGGAGATCTTGTGGCTAGAGAAGCACAGTGACAGAGATGTGGATGAGAGTGAGGGAGGGGGGAGACCTTGGAATACCCCAGAAGTTAATGTAACTTCTATAGTATAGCCTGACACAGGGTTTTTCTCAGTATCTTCTTAATATCTCCCATTCTGTGCCCACCTGCTAGGAATAACAACAAACCTTCGTTATAAACTCAAACCAGCGGTGCAACCTAAATTCATTAATGCAGACCTTATAACCTCATAATTTGTGATATGTTAGACACAAGATGGAGAGATTTTACTTACATACCACTAAGGGTCGGCAAAGGAGGGGGAAGACTTGTTAAGTAAAAGAAATAATTGAACTTACTCAGCATTACTGATAAGTGTTCTAAAAACAAATCACATACGCAGAACCTACGGAGTTATAAATTAATTCCTTCAGGTTAGACAAAGCAGTTCTGGAAGGGCCTCTTTGTAGCAGCACTGCACATTAGTCATGCTTTTTGATACTGTGATATACCTGGTGGGGGCAGGAGGGGACCCTACATTTATTCCAAATGGTCTGCAACTCATGCTCTTAATTATTCGATTGGCTTTCCCACTAACTATCGAGTTCTTGCAATTACTTTTGGTAGAATTAGACTTTAAAATCTTAAATACCTGAGGAGTTCAGTAAGAATCAGCAACCAGAATAGTTTAGAAAGACCCTGGGGTTGGGGTAAATTTCTACCCTTGGTTCTCACGGTTAGGGTGACTTTGATCACAGGTTAAGTTCCATGTCACTTGTGCTTTTTCTTCCTCTTTCAAATAATGCCAAATACTTAAAAAAAAAATCCAATTTAGAATTTCAGGTGTTATTTCCCAAAAGCATGCTTTGGTATCTCAGTCTTTGCTTTTCTCTAAGCACACTAATTATTTTTAGTTTTATATTGCATAATTACCAAATAAAGTTATGAAGTCAGGAAATACTGAAGTAAAGCCATATTACAAAAACAAACCTACTTTAAGATATGTCAGTTGGGAAAAATGTCTAAATAGTATTAAAATGATGCTTTCATTCTCATTGAAAAGAAAACTCAGATACAGATTCACTGTAGTAGACCAGTAATTTACCAGAATATCGAGTAGCATCATGTTAAATAGCATCTAGTTTTGTTATTCCTGCTTTAAGCAGCAGTACTGTGTAGTAAATGGAGCACTGGCAGCAGGCCAACTATTAAGTATCAAATCCCTATCCTAAGCTCTATGGATACTTAAACATTACTTATAGCTTTTTTTTTTTTTTTTAAATAAACGCACATCTGTGCTGTGTTTGAAAACAAACTACCTGTGGATACTATAGCATAACATGCAAGAAGTTAGAAATTAGCCTACAGTGTCTGCCATAGGACTTTGAGATGCTTGGGGAGCACAGTCCATGCTTCTCCATAAGTAAACTACGGGACACAGTGGAGAAAAACAATTGCAAAGTCCAACAACAATGGCAACACATAGACAGGCTATGCCATTATGCCTTGTTTCATAGACTAGAAATGCCCAAGAAAGGCATTTGATATGGAAAAGCCTAACAAAATAACTAAATAAAACCCCATGCACTCTGATAAGTATATTGCATTTACCCCCCTCTCTACTCTCAGCAGTGATATTTCCCATCTCTTTTAACAGATTTAATACTTTTGCAGTCAGAACAAAGTAGATACAAAATTTAATTAGGATAAAATAGAGTTGTGGAGAGTTTTCTAAAGAAGACAGGTTATATCTTACAGCTAGAAAGCATTATAAAGTTGAAGGACTATAAACTTTATTAAAGTTGCAAAATGCCAAATACTACCCTGACTTCAAATGCTTAGATACATGTTGCCCCCTAAATATAGAGATTATATATAATTAAAATATAGTTAATTATTAAACATTAAAGGAAGGTTTAAGAAAACAAGAAGAACTCAAAGTGAATAAATACTTTGGATTGACTTATAAACACTGCCAGTGTTTCAGTCAGAGAGTCATTGAGTTGACATACAATTTCATATAATGGACTAGGAAAATGATAATGGAGTCACTGAACAGAACAGTAAGAAAGAAGGACAAATCATTTGTATGACTCATAATGCTTCATGAACATAGGTTAAGTGGTGGCTATACGGGCATTCAGAATGGTCATTCATAAATCTTTGTCAATCAGTGGTAACAGCTAATCTAATAAATAACAAAGCAGATTTACCAAAAATGAGAATTTGGCCCGGTGTGTTTTACCATCCATAAGGTCTCCCAAAGCTGAAGTAAAACTAAAGGGGCCTTTGGTACCCATGGCAGAGAAATTCCTTTCAGGACAGGGCAACCATCTTGGTACTGCAGATTGAGAGAAAGCCTCCCGTGTCATCATGTAGAGGCTTTAGAAGTGTTCCCCAGTGAATGAGTCAGCAGTGCACTTAGAATGCAGCCCAGAAAAATATAACCTCAATTGTGTAATGTAACACATAGAGCCTCTTGCTTCAAAATTGTATATAGGTTTTTTCTATGTAAATGGCAAGTCATTGCAAGAAAGAGAATTAGGAAGAAAAAGACAAGACTGAGAAAGAGTTTGTCAGATACTGGCCCTTCAGTGTTACAAAAAGAGCTTTGTAAGGTCATTACCATCTATTCATCCACAAAATAGGATGCGTTAGCATTATCTCAGCCCTTTACCCAGCAGACTAATACAAAGGAAAACTAAACATGCTTAAGCTTCAGCACTACAAATATTTCTCTGTTGGCTCTCATTTTCCTCAGAGAGAAATGGACTTAAGTTAGTCATTATGCATTATGGTCGGTATGTTATACATATTGCCTCTTTGAAGATTCTTTAAACCTGTGGAAAGCAGAAAGATAACCTCTACACATTGATTTTATACATTACTGCGCTGACACAGCATTTTTAACTGCTAGGTATAATGCACCTTCAGATTCCTCTGCCTTGCGTTATTCAATTTTCTGGATAAGTTAGTATCCTATTGGTTGTAGGACTTAGGCTGGCTAAGAACTTGACACTGATTCTCTCTTGAACCCAAGAGCTTTCTCCGAGCTACACATGAGTCCTGGTCTGTGGTGCATTCCCTCAGCAGTAGGCTTTATTGTGAGTCCAGCTCTCCTCTTTAATAGGTCCCATGTCTCCTGGAGAGCCCCTGCTCCACACCCCACATCCCACCCACCCCACCCTCTCCCACATTTCATACCCATTTGCACATTCTGGATCTGGATTCTCCTAGGTTTAGAAGAGTCATACAAACGGTGTCATCACCGCGGAGGAATGGCGCAGTCCTTGGATAGCAGCATAAGGCCCCTGCTGAAAGTAGTGATGATACCGGGGCATGTGGAAGGAGGGGAATGTCGGGCCGCTCCCCTGCATGGAGCCGGCAATGGCCGACGGGGTCAGAGGCACCCCAAGTCGGCTGTACGGTGGCAAAGAGCCCTGTATAGGGTGAGGAATGGGTGTCGCTATGGATGCTGTGCTGGTGCCGAGAGCAGCGAGGGACTGGGGATGCTGAAATCCAGGAAAAGTGGAAGAAGAAGAGACCCAGGAGCTGAGGGACAAATTATCAGATGTCGTAAAGGCCGACCCTGAAACAAAAAACCACTCATCAGACTAGAAACTCTATTTCAGTGTGCAAATCAAGAATTACATTATCTGTGCAGATTGATTTATTTTTTTAGAATATATAATAGATCTGCAATTTAAAAAGATAAACACATCAACCATGAGTCAGAACTACCTTTCCAGATAAGAAGATACCATTTATACTATAAGGAAGAGAGAATTTACTAAATAGAAAAAGACTTAACTCATTAGATGGCCTGTATGCTCCTGGAGAATGGTCAAAATACAAGTATTCTGCCTGAAAGGAATAACTGGATTCCCTTTAAAGGAGCTCAGAGGGTACCTGGGTGGCTCAGTTGGTTAAGTGTCTAACTCTTGATTTGGGCTCAGGTCATGATCTCACAGTTTGTGACATCAAGCCCCACGTTGGGCTCTGCACTGACAGCATGGAACCTGCTTGGGATTCTCTCTCTCCTTTTCTCTTTGACTCTCTCTCTCTCAAAATAAACTAAAAAAATTTTTAAAAAACAAAAGGAGCTACAAATAGCTGGTACCTGTCCTAAACTCTATAGCATCCCTATAAGGAAGGCTGGACATATGAGCCTCAACAAAGCTACTTGGTTTCTAAAGGCCTTGTGAAAACCCACAAGAATGTTTTTCTTTTTCTAGCTTCTTTTTCTAGTTCCAAGAATAATTTTTCCTACATCACAGCATCCACAAATTTAAACAAAAGTTGACGCTGGATTTGCCAGCTGTATAATTACCAGTAGTTCATTTGGATTTAGTTATAAGAGGTGTCCTATGTTTTGACAGATTACGCTATTCCATAGAAAGGACATAAAAATATGACAAAGGGCTCTCTCCTCACACAAAATCCCTATGCTCAGCGTGAAGCACCATCTGGTTAGTCTTCTCTGGACTCGCAGATGCAGACGGCTCCTCTGTGAGTCTTTGGGACAGAGGAACTTTTCAGTACTCCCCTACTGTCACCGCTGGGGCCACTGCCTCTACGTAATGCCCTTCACTAGGAAAATTTTCTTTTTAAAAGGGTTTTCCACTTTAGTCATTGGTCCTAGTAAGATATTCCTGGAACCTCTTATAAGTGGAACAGATATAGTCCCTGATTTTCGGATGATAAAATTGAGGTTCAGTAAGTCTAAAGGATTGCCCCCAAAGTCTAATAGCTCTTTGGTGGTAGATCACAGACAAATAACTCCTGAGCCCTGACTCAGAGGCTGGGTGTCCTTTCACTAGAAAACAAACCACAGGAAACCATCAGGCAGAACAATCACTTAAGACTCAGAGGCAGGGGCCCCTGGGTGGCTCAGACGGTTAAGCGTCTGACTTTGGCTCAGGTCCTGATCTCGCAGTTCTTGAGTTCGAGCCCCGCGTCCGGCTCTGTGTTGACAGCTCAGAGCCTGGAGCCTGCTTCAGATGCTGTGTCTCCCTTGCTGTCTGCCCCTCCCCCGCTCACACTCTGTCTGTCTCTCTCAAAAATAAATAAACATTAAAAAAATTAAACAAATGAACAAAAAGACTCAGAGGCAAAATAATGACCTGTATGAAAATCAGGCTCCAGGGCTGCCCCTTCCTCAAGAGACTCCTGAAATACTTTTGGGGCAGACTGCACGCTGAGGACTAGGAGTCTCATCACCTACCTGCCTCTTCCTCATTCTGGGTGCTCTTGCTCCCAGCAGTTACGTAGCCCAGAAGCTGTCTTACCTCGATTCTGTGTTGTCTGAACCTCATCCCCCAGCACATCATCTTCTCCTCCATAGGTACGGATGGGTGAGCGGGCATAGGAATGCTTTTGGATCAGGCTCTCCACACTTTCCCTAGGTTAGAGAATAACAGATCCTAAATAAACTAAAAAGTACTCAGAGATGGAGACGGGTCTTAAAGATAATTTACTAGTCAGTAAAACTATCTTCTCAGCCAAAAGACCCCCCGCTTCAAGAAAGACGACATTCAAAACATGTGTTTGTGCCACTGTAGACTGCTTGGAAACATGACATCAGGCATATAAATACAAGCAACAATAACTGCATAGGATAGGAACAATCCCCTGAAATTCTATAAGATGAAGGACAAAGAGGTGAACAAGAACCTATGACACCAGACTATAGGAATGTAGAGCTTAATGAATGAAAAATGAGTGAATTTCCTATGAGGAGTTGCAATGAATCTCTGACTTCATCGGCTAATGAATATAAAACAAATACTCAACTGATATGAACTGCACTTATTCAACATCTGATGAAATGCTGGCCAGAAGTTCAGAATATCATTAGTCATGAAAAGACTCAATACTCACTAATAAATCTAGTAAGTACATAGATTATATGACAATATTGGTAGTTTGGATAATGGACTATTTGAGATTCCTGTTTCTTTAAGATGGAAAATTATAGAAAACCTGTGAAGGACACATAAAATGGCCATTAGGAAATTGAGGCCCCCAAATAAATTGGTCTATTGACTTTGAAAGTAGTCTTCCTGTTGAAACATAGTCTATCAACTAAAGAATGCAATTAATTTTAAAAGCAAGAATTATTTTGGTATTGACCCATTTGACTTGCTGCACTTGCTGCTGTTAAAAAAAAAAAAAAAAAAAAAAGTCAGCAAGAATTTAGCCAAAGAGGGGCTCCTGGGTGGCTCAGTCGGTTGAGCATTGACTTCAGCTCAGGTCATGATCTAGCAGTTCATGAGTTCAAGTGTCATGTTGGGCTCTGTGCTAATAACAGCTCAGAGCCTGGAGCCTGCTTCAGATTCTATGTCTCCCTCTCTCTTTGCCCCTCCCCTGCTCATGCTCTGTCTCTCTCTCTCTCTCTCTCTCTCTCTCTCTCTCTCTCTCTCAAAAATAAATAAACATTAAAAAAATTTTAAATAAAAAAAGAATTTAACCCAAGAATTTTTCGCCGGAAATGGAAGTTCATAACAGGTAGCTTACACAGTATACAACTCCAGAATAGCTGTAGCCTAAAGACCAACACTGCATTAACCATCAAAGGACAAAAAAAGAATTAGAAAATTGAAGAAATTGTGTTGAATTAAGAATAAATCAAACACCAAATTTCACATTGAGGGGACAAGGAAAGCAAATAGAATGTTATAATAACTTTCAAAATGTAGTACTTGTCAACATTTCACATAGATATACAGACTTTACTGCTAAAAAAAATATTGCCTTATAGTGAATTTGGCCTTCTAAAAAACTTCTATACTCAGAGTTTCATGAAAGCGTTTTGTCATATTATGTAGCTTGCAAATGAGGATTTAAAAGCAAGCCTAAAAGAAAAGTTAATTCTAGCAACTATCCAGTTACATCTTTGTTTCCAAAAAGTTTTAAAATAAGCATATAGTACCAATCGCAGGCAGTCACAATGACTGGGATCTATACCCAATAGATTCACATACAGATATTTTAAAAAGTGAAACCATTCCATATTTATTGCAATGGAATGAACTCCAAGATATAGTAAATGAAAAAGTTAACTACAGAAAAAATGTATAAAGTATGCTACCATTTGTGAATTTAATTTTTTTTAATTATTTTGAGAGAGAATCAGTGAGAGAGAGCATGCATGAGCAGGGGAGGGACAAAGAGAGAGAGTGAGAGAGAATCCCAAGCAGGCTCCACACTGCCAGCATGGACCCCAATGTGGGGCTCAAACCCATGAACCATGAGATCATGACCTGAGCCTAAATTAAGAGTTGGATGCTTCATCGACTGAGCCACCCAGGCACCCCACCATTTGTGAATTTAAAACAGGGAATATATATGTTTGCATATGCCTATATATATATATATATATATATATATATATATATATATAATAAATGGAAATAATATTTCCAGAATGTTCCAGTTTCAGAACAGGAAACTGCCTAGAATAGGTCATCTCTGTAGGGTGGAACCAGGGACCTGAGGGACTGGAGTAATGATTCCCAACTTTGTCTTGATTTTCAAACTTGTCACAAATCCATTTGAGACACGTGGAGCTCTTAAAAAAGAAAAATTACATTGAGGTATAATATACAACAAGTGGCACATATTTAAAGTGTACAATTTGACCACTTCAAGCTGATGTGACCATGATACCACTACTACAAGTAAGATAAACTACCTAACACCTACAAAAGTTTCCTCATGTGCCTCATGCTCCCTGGTCCCCATCCCAACAAGTTTTGCCAAGGAAACCACTAATATGACTTCTGTCCCTACAGATTAGTTTGCATTTTCTAAAATCATATAAAATGAAATCATATCTCATGTTTCTTTTTTTATCTGGCTTCTTTCCACTCAACATAATTACTTTGAGATTCGTCATTTTGGAGCATATATCAATGGTTCATTCTTATTCTGAGTAGCATTCTGTTTTCCAAGCCATAGTGTATACTATAGTTTACCTATTCACCTTTTGATCTATATTTGCCTTGTTTCCAATCACTGACTGTTACACATGAAGCTGCTACCCATATTCCTGTGTATTTTTTTTTAAAAAGGACATATGCTTTCACATCTCTTTTTTTCTTTGCAGAAATATTTTTAGTTACAAATTCAAAACCATCAGATTATCTGTTTCTTCTTGAATGAGTTTTGGTAGTTTTTGTCTTCAAAGAATTTGTCCATCTCATCTAAATTATTGAACTTATAAGTGTTCATAATATTGCTTTTTTATCCCTCCTTCTGGTATCTGTAGAATCTGTGTGATGTTACTCCTCTTATTCCTGACAACGGTAATTTGTGTTTTCTCCCTTTGTTTCATAATCAATTTGGCTCCAGGATCTTCTGGAGCATCTGGAATGCTTTAGCAGCATCCTACAAGGTTTTGTGGGCTGTATTTTCATTTTCATTCATTTCAAGACATTTTCTTTTTTTTTTTTTTTTTAATTTTTTAAATATGTTTATTTTAGAGAGTGAGAGAGAAAGCCTGAGCAGGGACGTGGGGAGCGCGGGCAGAGAGAGTGAGAGGGAGACACAGAATTTGAAGCAGGCTCTAGGCTCTAAGCTGTCAGCACAGAGCATGCACAACGTGCAGCTCAAACTCCCAAGGTGCGAGATCATGACCTGAGCCCAACTCAAACACTTAACCGACTGAGCCACCCAGGAGGCCCAGCTCAAGATATTTTCTAATTTCCTTTTTGATATCTCCCATGATCCTTGGGTTATTTAGACATGTTATTTAGTTTCCAAATTTTTGGGAATCTTCTAGTTATCTTTCTGCTATTGCTTTCTAATAAAATTCCATTGTGGTCAGAGAACATACTTTGTATGGTGACTTGAATGCCTTTAAATTTATTGGGACCCTCTTTGTGTGGCACAGAGTATGGCCTATCTTCGTAAATGCTCTGTGTGCACTTGAAAAGAAAGTATATTCTGCTGATAGAGAATGGAGCATTTTATAAATGTCACTTGGGTCAAGGTGGTTAACAAAATTGCCCAAATCTTCTGTATCTTTACCTATTTTCTGTCTATTCATTCTACCAGTTTTTGAAAGAGGGACAGTGAAATCTACAACTATAATTGTGTATTATTCTATTTCTCCTTACAATTCTATCAGTTTTGCTTCATGTACCATACTTTGAAGGTCTCTTAGGCACATAAATATGTAGGATTGCATGTTTTCCCCATGAATTAAAACCTTTACAGGCGTACGTCAGAGATGCTGTAGACTCAGTTCCAGAACACCCACAATAAGGCAAATACTGCAATAAAGTCAAATGAATTTTTTGGTTTCCTAGTGCATATAAAAGTTATGTTTACACTACACTGTAGTCTATCAAGTGTGCAATAGCATTATGTCTAAAGAAAGTAATATATATACCTTAACTAAAAAATATTTCATTTTTTAAAAATGCTAACCATCATCTGAGCTTTCAGCAAGCCAATCTTTTTGCTTTTCAGAGTGGTGGTTGCTAAAGGTTGGCATGATTATGACAATTTCTTAAAATAAGGCAACAGTGAAGTTTGCCACATAGATTGACTCCTCCTTTCACAAATGATTTCTCTGTAGCATGTGATGCTATCTGATAGCATTTTACCCATGGTGGAATTTATTTCAAAATTGGAATCAATACTCTCAAACCCTTACTGATGCTTTATCAACTAAGTTTATAATATTCTGAATCCTTTGTTGTCATTTCAACAATCTTCACAGCATCTTCAGCAGAAGTAAATTCCATTTCAAGAAACCACTTTCTCTGATCATTCATAAGAAGCACCTCTCATCTGTTAAAGTTTTATCATGAGATTGCAGCAATTCAGTCATATCCTCAGGCTCCACTTCTAAATCTAGTCCTTTTGCTATTTCCACCACATTAGCAATTACTTCCTCCACTGAAGTCTTGAATCTTCAACTTACAAAAAATGCAGTATTCACATATCACAATAAAGTGACATGCAATAAAATGTGGTATGCCTACATCAGTATGAAATGATCTAATTTATCCACGGTAAATTCTTTGCTGTGAAATCTGTGATACTGATGTAGTCACTCCAGTTTTCTTTTGATTGGTGTTAATATAGGTATATTCTTTCCATTGCTTTACTTTCAACTTGTGTCTTTATATATAAAGCACATTTTTTATATGGCAGCATATATTTGGATTTTGCTTTTTAATCCAAACTGACAATCACTCCCTTTTAATTGAGATATTTAGTGCATTTATATTTAATGTGATTATAAATATGTTTAGGTTGAAGTCTATCATCTTTATCACCTATTTGCATCCTACCTTCTCATATGCTATTTACCTTTTCCTTTTTTTTTTTTTTTTTGCCTTCTTTTAGGTTGTTTCTTATTATTTCATGTCATCTCCTTTGTTGGTTTAT